TGTGGCCCATTTTGACAGCTAATGGCATCCTTTCTCATATTTTCTTTTAAGCCTCTGTTAGTTGTCAGAATACAGTGATATCTGTTAAATACTCATAGTTACAGTTATACTTATGTTTCCTATCACTTCAACTTTATTTTTAACTTGAGCTTAATAAAACCATCACAGACTTGTCAAACTTGTATAATTGTGAGCCTAGTAGATCATAATAGGTTATTCCTATTTAGATTTGGTCATGATTTGTGTGGGATACTGTCCCAAAAAACCCAGATGCTTGTAAGAGAAATGTGTGATTTTGTAGGTAAAATTCTATCCTGTTATTTGACACTATGTAGCCTTAAAGCATCTGAATTCAGATAACTGCATTTACTTATTTTACTTTTTCTATTTTTTTCTTTTAAGATTTTGTAAATGCTATTGTAGACATATAAAAGCTAGCATAGTCCTCTACCTGTACTTAAAGTCTATCAATGGTAAATTCAGTACATCTGAGCTATGGTTAAAGAAATATCCCTGCAGATTTTACATTATTTATATTCGCAATTTACTGAAAACCCTGAAGAGAAAGATCCCACCTAACTGTGAATGAGGTAATACTAAATTCATCACTCCTTTCTTAAGATTTTAGCATCTCCAACTTTTTTGCCTTCTTCAAATGAAGTTCAGTAACTATTAAATAAGATGTCATATTCACATCAAGTTTTATGACTGACAAGAAATAGGTCTCATAAATTTTAATATTTTTTTCAAACACACTTGTTTTGTTTCTCATGTGAATACAGGTATACTAATAATGGACCTTATTTTTGAAGTTATAATTACTCTGAGATTTATTCTATAGTAGACTGATCATATGGGTGTAAAGAATTTCTTCCCATTAGCATCCTTTTAAGGAAACTTATAAAGTATATTTTTCTTGATGAACTATACCTGATTTGTATGTGACAAGTAGAAAAGCAGACTAAAAGCATATATGTGATGCATTTGCATTTAAACACATCTTTATGAAACTCATGTTATTTATGCACTCTAGAAAACCTTTGGATTTTAAGCATGAACTGTGAAATTACCAGGAAATCAGAAGAAACAAACAAAAACCAGTAAAGTACTAAGTTTAGGAGAAAAGACATTGGCAAGAAATATCTAAATGCTCATCTTTCCTGAATGAGATTGGTGTCATTAGATCTTCCTATGAATCAATATTTTTTTACATAATAGATATATGTTTCTGAAAAACTAGTTATAACTCTGAGGTATGTGTTGAAGTACACACACCCACAATTTTTTTTTTTTACTGAGTACATAATAATTTCAGATGTGTGTTTACATATACATTTTGATTCTAGGTATTTAATGTGCCAAATTTTTCTGCCATCATCAATATACAACTTTATATGGACTTGAGTTTTGTCACATCACTTCTATAAGGAGAGAGTCAAGTGTATAGTCAATCCATCTTTGCATTGTATACTTACATGAAAGCAAAACTATATTAAAGTACAACATCAAACTTATTGCTGTTTTACTGGGCTTTCTCATCTACTCTTAGAGACATCAATGCCTTACTTATACATTGCTTATTGCTACAGGAATTCAACCAGAAGCCTCAAATGAAAGAGACTTGTTTTCCCTGCGTATTTAGAGTTTACAATATGAAATAACTCCGGGTTTGCATACTGTTTGATAGCAAAGCAATTCAACCACCTCTGTAGAGCTATCTCAGACAATCGTGGCTAATCTTTTCTTTCTGTTTTTGCCTGATGTAGCTCCTGGAAGATTAGACAAACCATTCTGTACTACTGGGCAGCAAATATGCAAATCAGAGTGTCTAGCAGCATTACATGTGCAAATTCCAAACTGCATTTAGTGGTCAAACCCTTGGTAAAGCTTCCCAAATCAGTATTATGTTTCCCAGCACAGCTTGAAAATGCAAATCAAGAGACAGAGAAAGCCACATTATTTTTTAAGGTTCTTGCCTGCATATCTTAATTTGAAAAGAGCTTTAGTAATATTACTAAAGGTTAAGGCTAATCAAATTGAGTCATTTGGGGTGTTAGTTTACTCTTCTTAACTTCCCTTACATTGACCAGTGCATTAAAATGACAACAGTGCTCTGCTCCTTTGAATTTTTGCAGCATATTAGATCAGCTTTCATCACAATAAACTCATCTGTAACAAATTTTAGGCAGTTAAATTTTTGGAAGCTGATTTGGCCAGTTCTAATAGCATGCCATAGAGGTCTTTGATCCACAAGTTTTGAAATAAATAAAATTCTTTGTCTTAAATTAAATTTACATAATTCAATTTTTAAATTGAATTTAAAACTTTTCAGCCAACGTCATCTAGGACCTGATGTTAGGGAGTTATATTGTAAAAAGAAGCTCAAAAGAGTCACCCCTAATAGTTAAAAATCTCTGCTGGAGATTCTGGCTTAAACCTTATAAATCATAAATTTATAATGAATTTTAAATCAGTGTATTGTAATTATCATAGATTAATATATTTGTGAAGAAAATTCCAGAATAAGAACACTAATAAGCAATAAATCAGCCATCTCATGTGATTTAAAAATAGCAAATTAAGATACAAATGTAACTTATTCAGATAAATATTTATCTGTAGGTTTAAGTACTGTGGTTCACTCAGTTTAAATACTTGTAAGGATCACTTAAAAGTAGATTCTAATTTTAATAATAAGTACCATATATCAAATTCTTACTGTGTGCATATACTGTGTGAAATGTTGCACTTGACTTACCCCACATGGTCCTCCCAGCAACCCTTTTAAGGATATTGTTGTTATTATTCCCTATTTACAGATGAGTTTGAGAATTAGAAATGTTAAATAACAATGTCATACTCCCATCAAATGTCAGTCCTGAGATTCAACATCAGGTCTAGTAGATGACCAGGGGCATGATTATAACAACTGTGTTGTACTAATGATCCTAAAGTTATAACTTTAGGATATAATCCATGGCTGCATATTGGGACAGTGTAAAATATCTTAACATTGTTGCATAGGCTAAACTGCAACTTATTATTATTGTTGAATTTTGTAATTTTTCTTTATGAAAAAACAGAAGTGAATACAAATGTAATGCCTCCATTCCCTGGTACAAAACATTGGCCTTTGAAGTAGCCACTTAGCTAGTTTGGATCTTAGTCGAGCATTTAGAAAAAGTTAAAATGTAATGCCAAACTTCATTGGTTGGATTTTTTATTAGATAAGGTAGAAATGAAAGCAGCAGGCAATTTAATTAGCAGTAATTTTTCTGGGCAAGTCATTACTTTGATGAACTTCAGAGCAATGTTTATGGCTCCTAATTAACCATGTTAGTCATTTGATTGAATAATCACTTTGGAAATGTTTCTACAATTTGATTAGAGTCTGACCCACTCTGATAGTCATAAATTAACTGATATCACTTTAGGATAACATGACTTTAGTTTCTTTATGGGAATAAACTCCTCTTAGCCATATTTTTTCAGGCCTCTCTGAATTGTATAAAGGATACCAATTTTAAGGATAGACTGTATTTAAACGATGATAGCCAAATGCCTCAATTTTAAGAGCTAGATGTTAATTTTATTTATTGTAGAATATAATGTAATAAATAGTATTAGGAATTGGCAAAAACACAATTATATTCCCAAATATGATTTTATTTTTTCTAAATTGCCATTCATTGTTTTTTTTGAGAATTTATATCCTAAGTTGGACCTTTGGAAGTATAATTGAGATTTTGGTGTTAGCCTCATTATATAAGTCATTAATTTATTGCAAATTTTAAATTGATATATTTTAAAATATCTTAGATTAATAGAGATTGAGAATAATTTTACAGAGTAAATGCAGCAATAAATCAGCCCCTTCAGTAGATACATAGTGAATTTATCCATCAAATCTTATATTTGATGTCAACTGTCTAGTTTTCCAGGATTGTGTTAATTTTGTATCATGTTAAAATGCTTTTATATGGTGTTCCTTCAAATTTGAATAGAAGGTTTCTCAGAAATATTTGTATTTCCTTTCTTCCTCCTTTTTCCCCCTTTGGGAAGAAAAGACTGCATTTGGTCACACTTATATATAATAGAATTTAGCCTATATGTTTTCCTTTAGCTGCCTCCAGAGCCAGCCAGCTGTTTTTACAGCCGCACTCCAGGTGTGCAGCAGTCAATAAAAGTATTTTGTGGCACGGTGTCAACACTGGTACAACAAAATGCTTGCCACCATGCAGCTGCTGAGCTGATGGCAGAGTTATTAACACTGTCCCTTCCAGGCCCAGCTGATTTTAGGGACCTTATGCCTGGGAATAAATCAAAATACCGTTAAAAATTAATATGAAGTACCATTAATTAAAAAGTTGGGCTAAAATGGATTTGGTATTTGGTAACCCAAAAGATCAACTACAGTGCAACCCTATTATAAATGCAAGTATCAGGAAACAAGGTTAACTCTGCCTTTTGTAAGGTCAAAATTATATACTGCATAATACTTTCTGTAAAGAAGGCATGATATGATAAAACTTTTGATAATAATTTACACTATTTTCAACTTGTAATATTTTTAATGTTCCAAACGTTACATTTTTAAATGTAATTGGTATTGAGTACTTTTGTTATGTTCATAGAATACCATGGGATATACAAATTTATTCCATAAATATTCTGAAGCATATTTATAACTCATGAAACTGTTGCAAAGACACCATCATATTCATTGGGGTTGCTTTTTGAACCAGTATTTAACAAAGATGATTTGGGTAAAACTTTGATTTCACTTGCCTATTCAAGAGAGTTAGCATTCACTATGATATAAACTCTTCACTCTTCCATTTCTTTTGTGTGCTCTGCATGAAATGTTGATGATGTGTTAACTGGTTCCTTTCATGGCGACTCATGTCAATTTCTGTAACTTCTTCTGCACCCTGTCCACTGATAGCAGCACAGTTTCAGCTCCAGACTCTTCTTTGACCAGTGTTGTTTTCCTCTTTCAGAAGTGCCTAGCTGCCACTCCATTTATATGAGGCAAGAAGGCTTCCTGGCTCATCCCAGCAGAACAGAAGTTAAGTTTTCCATCACTGAAATTCCTTGTAAATATCTTTTACAATAATCAGACATCCCAAGTTTGTGGTCAATTAATCATTATATTCTTTGTAAAAAATCATTTATGTTCCCTAAACCATTGTTTTAAAATGATCTAGTTAAAGTAAAAGGACGATTTTTCAGGCCATGATATCTTGTATTTGTTAACACAAGTCATATACATGGATCCAGCTGAAAAGTAGATTTCTCTGTTCTTTTTTTGCCAACAAGCACATTCTTTTAAACCTGAACTTATGCTTTATAGATTAGCCCATCTTCACAGGACTCTACTGAAATGTATCTTTGCAGAATATTCAATTTTGCTTTTTCAGACCTAACTAATGCTTTTACATTTTTGGACAAGTAATTGTTAAGAATAAAATTTCATATAAGAAGGCTAGAGAAGGAGTTTTTATTGTGGATGTTTTTGTGGTAACCGTGGTGGGAATGCTTCACTCGAAGGGCCTTACCTGCAAAGTAACAGATAAAAATGATTTTCATCTAGATATAATCCCCATTACAAAATGTCTGGAAATATATGCATGGTTCTTGCCCTAAACAGTCTATGTCTCTTCAGTAAGACTGACTTAGATGCATCATTTTAGGCTAGGTCTAATATTGGTCATTTTGCATAAATGATACTAGTAGAAGTTTAAAGGATACTACGATGTGGTAAATCCAAAATATTTGAGACCAAAAGTCTTGCACAAATTCAATGTAATTATTGTTGCTGCTATTAATATTATGCACCAACCATTGAGACCAATACATTTGAGAAATAAAACTGTAACTAAGCTATATGAAATTTCTTCCTGGTAATTAAAGATAACAACAATTAGAATAAAGTCCACAGTCAAGGATATGTGGGATTGAAAATGACCGTGAAAAACTGTGAATATATTTTACATTTTTCTAAGGACTTAGTTATGTTACAGCAAAAAAAAAGAGAAAGTTTTGTTTTTCACTGTCTTATTTAAGACAAGAAATGTAACCTACCTAAATATTTCTGTAAGATAATAAGGGGGGTAAAATGAATCTCTTTGAAAGCCTCAGGGTAATAATGCAAGGTAAATATTAGTATTTCACTTTGATTTCCCTCTCTTCCTATTGAATAATGAAACTAAGACAAAACTGAAAAAGGAAATGATACATTATAAATGATAGGATTTTCAATGTTTGCATGAGCTCTGGCCTGGGTCAGTAGTAATATATTATTATAAATCACTGTGTGTGAGAAGCCACTCTAAATTTCATATATTAAATCCTTTAAAACTTACAAGGAATTAAAACTGTTCAAGAGCTGTCATCCCCATTTTATGGGTGAAGAAACTGAGGCACAGTGGTTAAATAATGTGTCCAGGGTCAAAGAGCTGAAAAGTGGCAAAGTCATTTTCCATCACAATTTTTGTGTTAATGTTTATATTTTAAAGTGTTGATGAGATTCATTTCTATCAGGAATAAATGTATTCCATTTCCCCCCACAGGCTGTATGTTTGAAAAGGGCCCGAGGCAGTTTTATGATGATACCTGTGTTGTCCCAGAAAAATTCGATGGTAGGTTTTTCACTGTGCTTCAAGTTTTGTTATTTGTAAAAAGGAATGATTACTGTTGCCTATTCTGAAAACAATGGATTTCCCTACTTAAAGATCTCTTTATGCACATCCTTTATCATGTACTCATTCTTGCAAAACTTGACTTATTACAAATTTTCTCCTTCTTTCCCCTATTAAGAAACCTTTTTGTTTTGTCTTATGAGACAGTCCATTTTGGGGGATATAGCCAAAGAGCATCATTCTTGCTGAGCTTTGTGTAGCATGAGAGGGAGCTCTCCATTGCCCTGCTGAGCACATGCAGCTTGTTTCTTGAGATTTATTGAAAGCTGATCCTATAATTAACAAAGCAGAGCAGAAAGCATGCTACTGTGGATGCACTGATGACTAATGCAGCCTCCCTTCTTTTATTGTTTGTGAAAAGATACATTATGGAACACAGGAACAACATAACTGCCCATTTAGTTAGTGATTGTTAGTCCCTCCTTTTTTTTTTTTCTGAGATGCTGTACATTGCTAATGTAGCATTATTTTGTAACTGCTTAAAAGGGGGTTAGGAAAGCATTATCTTTTTACTAGCACTCGATGTTGCAATGAAAAGTTCCCAGATCTGAGAAAAGGGTATCGGATTAGAATCTTTATTGTTTTTGGACAAAGGTGACAAAAGTCAGCATCTACTAGGAAGCTTGGGTAAAAGTGAACAATTAATTGATTTAGTGGTTCTTCCGAGTAGTCTCCATATTTCCTGCTTTGATTGTTTAACAGGAAACGAGCAGGGCACTCTGATTAGCTGATTGCACAAACTTTGGGGATCATGGCTGTAATGACTTGGGAGCTCTCAGAAGTTTTTAATTGTCATTATTTAAACAGCAAAGTACATGCTCAGATTGCTTTTCAATCTCTAATTAGTTGCTTGAAGACTCCCCTATGATCCTGAGCATTTTACTACTTCTTAGAAGGAATGGAAAGTCTTGAAAAGATATGCTTCCTTAGCCTCCCTTTAAATTCCTAAATTCATTCAAGGTCACAGGGTCCAAACCCCAATAGGGGTCACTTTTTGAATCTTATTCTACAATAGATGTTGTTCCTAAGCTTTGTGTTTCAGAGGTGTGAACTGTACTATTTAGCACCATTACCAGAACATCTCAATACTTAAAATACAACTTTTTCTCTTGAGATAAAATATAAAGTCTCTACTTCTTGGAATGACCTTCATCGATTTCTTTCATTTTTGGTGAGCTTCATATTTTCAGAAATCTTGAAAATTAGTAAGAGCATATAAAGGAAAAAAAGTCTCAGAATTATGATAGAATCTGGCATGCCACAGTCATACTAATATTTAGGAAACTAGCTGCCTTGATTATTCATTCCCTTTGACTTTTAAATTTTATACTAAGATTGCAAGATAGTATTTCTCTTGTATTTTATATGTAATAGAAAACAAGAAGAAAGAAAAATGAGGGAGTTATTTTTTTCATTTTACGTGGTCAATGTGATCACTTTATAGGCAGAAACAATATAGAGACTGTAAAATTTAAGTCTTTCACTGTATCTGTATAATTGCTCAGTTACTTCCATAAAAACATTTGTGAATCTCAGAAGGAAAAACTGAGATAAACAAAACTGTCATTGAAATCAATGTCATTGAAATCAATATCAAGTTAAGACCAAAAAAAAGTGTAATGATTTTTAGCAGCTATTGACTGAACAATTTTTTTTTATTATTTTGGTTTAAGTTTTTAAAGTGTTGCTCTTTCTGTAACTATTTTAAGAGGGATATTTCTCTCTACTGAACAGAAGAAAGTTTTAGAAAGCTTACGATTTATTCTCTTTTATAATTCACACTTAATGTGACTAGATTAGCTTGAATATATTATCTGAATTGTTTCTTTAGTGGAGAGAAGTCATTTGTGCATTAACAGTGATATACTTGTAGGACCCTAGACACTCCATCCCCAATGTGACCAATTCCACATATTTTTAAGATGGTTGGCTGGAGATAGAAGTAAATAGTCAGAAGTCACAAAGCTGATTATATGTGTATATATGTATTTTTTTCTTTGTAAAATCAAAATAAATGACCAGATTTATACCAGAAGCATTGCAACTGTAACAACTTTATTGTTGTAATCTATTTAACAGATTTTTACACCATATATGAATACCAAATATATGTAACACAAACCTTTCTTGCTTAAAAATATACATTTACAGAAAGTTCAGGTATATGCATTTTTAAATTGGACTTTTAGAAAAAAAAATAGCATGCTAAATTCAAGTGAGTGAAATACAAACAAGAGTTAATGAAAGAGATTTTTCATTTGTTGCCACTTGAAAAGTGGTAGCATAGAGGAAAGATGATACAACGGTAATCCAGTTTGACCTGAATTACCCACAAGACTTTCCTAATTAATGTAAGTGCAGATTACTTATGGTATTTGTCTTGTATTTTATTAAATTTTCTTTGAAATATTTGCATTAAAATCTTCAATAGTTTGTCATTTGCAGTTCAATGAGGTGTTTGCAGATTGTAGTTTATAGAATTTAATTTGTAAAAACAAAATGCCCAGAACTTAAAATTGATTACCCCCCTTCAGTGTTGCTAAGAGCAATGAATAATGGCATTAACAATAACAGCAATGAAATATGATTACCAACTATGGTTTTTAAAGAAATAAATTTTAAAAAGACAGTTATATAAAATTTTTGTAAATAAATGACATCTGTGTGTCCTTTATATTGACACAGGATTTATTCTGCACCTGTGCGCATTTATATTGGCCTATATATCTTATATACCATTGCCTGTAGGATTGTATAGATTGCTGGTTTATATTCAACCATGTAGCTACTTTAAATCCCTATTTAATGGCAGCATCCTATTTCATAGAAACCCATAAAGTGGTTGTGGTTTAACCATTTTAGTGATTGATTTCATGTAAATTTTATTTAATAACATAATTTTGCCAATAAAAGAAACTTTAAAACTTTTTAATTTAGGGGACATCAAACAAGAACCAGGAATGTACCGGGAAGGACCCACGTACCAGCGGCGGGGATCGCTTCAGCTCTGGCAGTTTTTGGTAGCTCTTCTGGATGACCCTTCAAATTCTCATTTCATTGCCTGGACTGGCCGAGGAATGGAATTTAAATTGATTGAGCCTGAAGAGGTTAGTTTTGTAGGTTTTAGTTAGAAAAATCAGATTTGTTATAACACAAAGAAATTGATGTATTTAAATATGCCAACATGTGTTTTTTTTAAATTTTAAAACTCCAGAGAAACTTTCTGAATTAGAATGTAAGCAAAGAAAAAGCATATCTACATTAAAAGTCACCAGTGCATTGCATATTTCTTTTAGTTGAATACAATCCTACAGAATTGATTTTCAAGAAAATCAACCAGAGCATCATTAACATAAGCCTTTATTGAAGAATGCCCAGCTTTAGGAGTTACTAATGGAGCAACTAAGTTAGGGCAGGAGGCCTGAGGGTTTAAGATCCTTAGGGGAGAGGAGAAGTATCTGCTAAAGGTCAAATGGTTCTGGGGATGGAGGAATTATTCTTTCAAATTAGCAGTCATTATTTGGACAATCTGGATTTTGTCAAGAGGGTTTGAGCTGGGCATTTAGGGACCAAAGTCATGTGCAAGAGAAGATGGGTGAGGAACAGCTGTGGGGGATAAAGGCACGCAAAGGCCACAATGGAAAATTCTCAGTCCTTAAGTGTCTTTTATGACAATGGTCCCCAACCTTTTTGTCATCAGGGACCAATCTCATTGAAGAAAATTTTTCCACAGATCGGGGTTGAGGGATGGTTTGGGGATGATTCAAGCACATTACATTTATTGTGCACTTTATTTCTATTCTCATTACATTGTAATACATGATGAAATAATTATATAGCTAACCATAATGCAGAATCAGTGGGAGCCCTGAACTTATTTTCCTGCAACGAATGCAGCGTTGAGCTGACAGGAGGTGGATCTCAGGCAGTGATGGGCGCAATGGGAAGCATCTGTAAATACAGTTGCAGCTTGCACTTGCTTGCCTTAAGCTCACCTTCTGCTGTGTGGCCTGATTCTTAATAGGCCACAGACCAGTACTGGTCCGTAGCCCAGGGGTTGGGGACTGCAGTCTTACAAGACATAGGCCTGATGGAAGCATGGTTTCCTTTTGTAAGTGACAATGTGTTTGTGTCAGCTGGACTGTGTATACTTCTTTGGAAGGTTGGGATGAAGTTTAAAATGTTGCCATAGTACATAAGAAATTACCAAAATGAGAGGACTCAAATAAAGATAATACTGTAGGGATAAATGGAACACAGTTTGAACCAACTGCTTGACTATCATCTCCATCCCACTCCCCCACATACAAATGTAGTATTTCCATTTCTCAGTTCAATTTTTATTTTTCCCAGGACTAGCTTTAGGCTTAAGGCTACTGTTGTTATTATAACATAACTGATCAGTAGCATTTTGGACCTCCATGGAAAGGTGACTATTATATGAATTGTTTGTCTTACTGTTAAAATTGAATTTAGTTTATATCAGCTAAGATAGCAATGGGAGATTTTTAGCTAACGTATCTGTGACTGATTATATTAGTTGTGGGATCAAAGCCTCGGTAATATGGAAAGATTCAGTAAGGTTGAAAAAATTTTGAACCCAAAGTGATTTTTTTATATACACTAGACATCTACAACCTAAGCTACTGGGCCCATCCATCTTACATTTTCTGTCCTTATTAAACCATGTATTCAATCATAATCAGGTAATATGCCCTAATTTGATGTCCAGAAGATAAAGTTACATCATTTATTAAAATTTAAGAGGTGATATGACTCTGGAATACATTAAAAGTATGAAATAAAAGGAACTGGTTAACACAAAATTAAGTCTACTTCAGTTTATATAAATACTTGAGTAGCACTAGGGTTTATCTTTGTAATATCTCCCTTGTCCCACACCAAACATACACACTGAGGGGTCAATATCCAAATTTGCAAATATACATTATCTAGGATGATATTTACTATTTGAATTTCGTAGTGTGCTTAAAGTTTAATTTAACTGTCAAAGAAAATTAGTTTTTCTGTAGATGTAATGATATAAGTGAAAGAGCCACAAAAATGTGGAAGCACTAACAAATTGAAACTAGAAACATTTAACAAAGTAATTTGAAAGCCCTTTAGCATGATGGGAATGTGTGTTCTTCACCTCATGGAAGATGTTAATAATTACTACAAGAGTTGGTTTGTGCTGGAATGGGGACATTCAACAGGGATTTGTATCAGTTAAACAGTTATTTCCCTCCACCTGTGATTAAAATAAACTGAGCAGAAACAGAATTCTTTATTTTTGCCAAATATTTCTTAAGATAGGGAATATTACTGAATTATGTCAGTAATTCTTGAACCACTCTGAAGACTGAAAATTCTTTTGCAAGTGATTTAAATTCTTTATGTAGCCACTGTTGACTTTTATAATGATCAAGTTTGAATGAGTAGAAGATTTGACCAGGTGACCATTAAGTTCCACCAAATTCTGAATTTCTGTGATTCTTCCATGCAGGGAAGAAATACATATAACAAACATTCAGACAACTTTTCTGTAGCAGACTTACAGAGTAAAAATGGACTGGGTAATTCAGAGTCAGTAGACCATTTCCAAATAACAACTAACTCAATGGGAATTGTGCAATAAAGACTGAATGTCTCCTAAGGCTTTTGTTCAAAATGAAACATCCCATTTCTGATTGCTGCATTGCTCACTGTTGCAATTACTTCCATCAGGCAATGACTGTGGTGTCTTGTTTAAATTTCTTCTTTGGAAAGTGTTTGTGAAATTTGTTTAGCCTTTGTGCCCTGTGGTCATCTCCTTCCCTCTACTGCCTAGCAGCTCCTTGGGTGTCTGTGTCAGTTCAACACATGAAACATGTCTCTGAAGCCACCCTGCTGTAATTACTCATGGGTCCCATTTATTTATATTTCATCTTGAAGTTTAAAATGATATTGAGTGAAACTTTAGACCTGCACTGATTATCTGCTCAGTGTGTTTGGATAACTATAGCAAACACATAATCTTTAAAATCTCTCTTTTTGAGATATTTGAGATAATTAGATGTTATTTTCGACTGCATCATGAAACCTAGGGAATTGTTCCAGGAAATAATTCTTAGCATAGTAAGGCATCTATAGGACTCAACGTAAAAGTCTTCTGATGATATTAAGCTGGTTAAGCTCAAAGAGTTAGCCGGAAGTCTGATGGCCAGGCTCTGAGTATGGTTTCCTAGTTCACTGTTACATATTCAAGCATGAATTTTAAAAACATGTTGAATAATGCTCGAACTATTACATCATCCTAGTTTTTCACTTGACAAAAAAGGTGAATGCCATAGTGCCATCTTCTTTTTACTATCCTCACTAACAGCCTAGGTGTTCACTTTAGCCACTGGAAGTATTCCCACCATTGCTCCATATTGAAAATCATGCCTTGGCTTTGAGTGGGGCTGGATACAGTGCTGATTGGTGGGTCATACCGGATATGTGAAGGCTGAGTAGACTTTCTTAGTTGGTAGATGGTCTACCTGGCCTGGAATCTATTTATGTTACCTGTTAATTTGAAACTTCTATTTTGTGTGTATCTTGTAGGCATATTGCTATCTGTCATTTCCCTCAACTTTATAAAGCATATGACACTAAAACAACTCTAAGAATACATTATATTGTTTTGAAGTGTCTACCAATACCCACAGTGCTGAGAATCAACTGGCACCCTAAGAGTCAAACTCTGTTTATGGTATTAAACTCATATTTCTTTCCCCTAGAGACCTCCACAATATTCTCTTAAAATTTGGTGAGAGTATTTTATTTTCTAGGGTGCATCCTGGTGTGTTTCTAGGAAAGGATCATTTATAAATGAATACATATTCAGAAATTAGTGTTTGATATAATGAAATATTAATAATTTATTTTCATATCCCCTCCAGGTTTGCATGCTGTTCAGCTACCGTGTCTATAAAAGATTCACTGGTGTCCATTGTTAGGTTTTGAAAGACATTTTATTTAGAAAATGCTTCTGTTTCTTATTGCCACCCCCAGCCCTCATTTCACTATTGTTCAGAACATTTACATTAAAATGAAGTTTATCTTTGGAAAAATAAGATGTACCTGCCACTGTGATTGCCTGCTTGAATATATAATCTTGTCCCTGTTACATCACATCCTTCTTCTCTTAAGAAAGCAGACTGCTGCATGTGACTGAAGTACGTTGTATCTTCATTCAGAGAATACAAATTAGTGAGAGAGAAAATAGCAAGGATCTGTATTTTTAAAACAAAAAGAAACAACCCTGGAGAAAGGTTATTGCTAATAAAGTGAAGAGAAACAAAATGATCCGTTTGAGAAGCATTCTATTTTAGTATATGTGAGATAGCAACAACTTGGAATTTCATGGAATGAAGGAACACACTAACCCTATTAGATAACGCTCTCCTGGGGTTGCCTACGTTTGCATGACAGCTGCAGTTTCTGCTCAGACTAATAAAAAAGTGAAAATTAATGAACAAGGGACATTAGCTGGGGTAGCAAAAGTAGGCTATGCTATTCTGTATCATGCTTCAGCTAGTTTGGGGTGGTGATGAGGTAGGGATACACACACACACACACACACACACACACACACATATATATGGAGGAAGGAGGTTTTTTAAAAAGCTCTATTGAAGAACTCTGTCTTAATCAAATACATCGCTCCTCCAAAGCTACATAATAAAAAGCTCTAAGACTTTTTTACTAAACAACAAAGTAGACATTCTGCTTTAGAGATTTTTGTTTGTGGACTCATATACATGGTGACCTTTTCCACTTCCTTCTTATTTTTAGCATCCAATTACTGTTCTCTAAATGAATGTTTAATTCTCCCGTTTAGTATTGGCTACAATTTTATTCTGATGCTGCTTCAGGGAATAAAAATTATTTGCAGTTCAGTTTATTAATTTGTATACTGTGTCCTCGGCTACACACATTGCCATTTGTTCACTCTTTTACATATTATCGAGAAGGATATCTTTTTTCTTTGATCATAACCTCAATAAAACATCTTTACAAAGAGATCACTAAGCTGTTGTTAATGTATAGTTTTTGTCCAAAAAATGAAGGAAAAAAAAAAAAAAACAGCGTGTCTCAGAATGGAAACCTTGCTTCATTTTGGTGAATTGCAGCCTGTTCATTCCTGTTGTAAACACATTCCCTTATTTCCATTTAATTTTGTATCCAAAACAATAGTGACAAAGAATTCTATTGTAATGTTTCATAATGATCACTGCATGCCTGGTTTAAAAAGCAAACCAGGACACAGGAAATTCAGATTACAATAGCTTTTGATACTTTACTTATATCTTTGATTTGGATGTGTTTTGGTGGGTTTGGAAGCAGTCAATTAATTAATTTTTATGAAATATGTCGACAAATTAATACTTAACACTACAATGTAATTCTTTTTCGGTGGCAGGTGGCCCGGCGTTGGGGCATTCAGAAAAACAGGCCAGCTATGAACTATGATAAACTCAGCCGTTCACTCCGCTATTACTATGAGAAGGGAATTATGCAAAAGGTGAGCAGCTAATACAGCATTAAAATTCATTGAAATGTTGCACATTAATCTGCACGTCATACTTTAAAAGCCACATATCATTGCATTGCTGAAGCAAGGTTTTCACTCATTTTAACAAATGCTTAGCTCTTGGTTTTGGTATTATAAGCCTTTCTATTTATAAATTCATGGACATTGTAGATAAATGTGTAATAATATGTACAAAATAATAGGCTTTCTGGACGTTCTTACTGTGCTGCACATGGTTAAAAAAAAGGTGGTTTCAGTATTAATATTGCATCTATATATTTTCAGAAGTTGTTATTCTGCTGCATTCTCCACAATTATATAATTTTGAAGTGCTTTTGTTTATAGAGCCCAATGAAAATAAAGAACCTTAGACTAACTTAATTCTTACATTTTTCTTTCTTGTTCTTATTCTTAAACCATTCAGACATTTCTTGTTCTCATTTGTAAAAACATTTTTTTCTTCTCTGAAATCTTGCCTGGTTGTATCATCTGACAGTTTAATATCTGAAACCATTAATTTAAAAAGAATATTTGATGTTATGTAGTTAGGTGGTTAAAACAAAGTTCAATATATGTTATTTCAAATAAGCTTCCATAATATTTGAAAGTAGCTTTTCTAAAAAAAAAAAAAAAGTAAAACTCAAACGAGTGAATTACACTTATAGAATTTTGGAAGAAAATAATGGATAAAGAAAATAAAGATAATACATTTGGATATTTGATATTATTACACTCTTCAGCCTCATGTGTGTATTCAAATCCAATTGCCTTCTCTGTGAACCAAATTTATGATTTAACCACTGGAACATTACAGTTTTATTATATAACCTTTATTTATTTTGGGGTTTATGAACACAGTCTCATGTTACAGATTGCGTCATATTTTTCTATCTCCATAGATATACTAAGAAAAGCTATACTAATTGTTGCATGAAACTTAATAGAACAGATGGAAATGGCAATGTTGGGTTTCCTAGAACATAGGGAATCAGTGCTCTAGATTTGCCACCTCAGAAGTTAGAACTTCCAAAATCCTTAAAGATAAGGCTGCATTAGATTTTCTCTTGCTTCCTGTTTTCTGAATCTTGCTTTCAAAACATTTCACTATTTCTACCTGCTCCTCCTGCTTTTTCCATCTCAACTCTAGGGTTGTTTTAAATTCCTCTCTTTCTTTACCAACATACCCATTCATAGCTGAATCCTCATTTTCACCACCACCTTAACACAGGGGTACAGCAACTGTGCTATCCCGGAACACACTTAGCAGTCTCCCTGGGCAGTATTGAACAGGGGTAAAAGATAATGCAGTCATGATTTAAATTTGAACACTGGCTTCTCACTGGATCACCTTCTTGAACAGATTCTTCTCCTATAAAATAGTGACATTCTTATTTTATTAAACTTTCTGTGATTATTAAATGGAATAATGTACTGGGATATTATACATTGTACTTCACACAATAAAAGTCTCCAGTAAATGGTGACTCTTAGTGCATCTCATATCCTGACGTCAGTGCAAACCACAGCATATTGGGTTTGTGTGTCTTGACCATTAAGTCTCTTATTAAAGGGAGTATTTGCAGAGAGCTAAAAATTATTATAAGATACCTAATGACACCTCAGCTTTTAGACACAGTGGTTGACACGGTATCTCCAGGATGTCATACCAGGTATTAAATAGTCTCAAGTGTTCACCACTTCCACATTCCCACGTATCCTCATCCCATATTCCATTTATATTTACTCTTATTTTAACAAATGAATAAAGCAAAATGCTATCAAACAGTAACATAGGTACTGAACTATGGATAAAAATGTTGTTGCTCCTCACATTTTCCCTATTAGGCTATACCTACCAAAGGGAACTATTTACAACCCATTTATCAGCTAATGTAGGAACATGAAATGCTGTGTGTGACAGACCTTTTGTGGTGTCACTGTATAATGTAAGAAAGGGCAGGTCATTTAATTGTCAAATGTGCAAAAACTAAAAGCCTGTAGGTACTTGTAACTAGCACAGCAATCAAGGCCCCTTATAAGTTTTCTGCTCATATTTACCCTTCTTCATATTCTACTGGCTGTTCCTTGACACACTCATGATTCCTCCAGTGAATAATTCACATTCTTTCTTTTTTCTATTTAATTAATTAATTAATTTTAGAGAAGGGGTCTCATTATATTGCACGGGCTGGCTTTGAGCTCCTGGGCTCCTGCAAACCTCCTGCCTCAGCCTCCCGAATAGCTGGGACTACAGGGGTGCTCCTGGGCCAGTCACATTCTTTCAAAAATCCTTGCCCTTCTCACATGTTGTACTATTCTGTTATTTAAATAAATTCTGGTACAGTCATTCAAGAGAAAAAGTATGCTATCTTTTTATATATATATAAAAATTTATACTATAGAATGATATATTTCAACATATAGAGGAAAATATTTATATGGCCACATTTGTTCATTGACTTAGAACTATTCATAGCCATATGTGGTGTATGTAAAAAATTAAATTAAAAGATTACAGAATAAAATAAAAATAACCAAGTTGGTCTCACCATGTAAAAGAATTAAAAACTGGTAATTAATGTCAGTAGTTATGAAGGAAATAAGAAACAGTGGAGTAATGCATATGTATACTTATATTTCAACATTTAGAAATGCCTAGAAAAATATATATCGATATTTTAACAGTGGTTATATTCTGAATGGTATAATTATAGACTATTATTTCTTTTTGCTCAATCTATAATTTCTAATTTAGTATCCAATTTCCCTGTGTAACTTCTGGAATTTTAAAAGTCAAAACAAAATTTACTCAGCAATTGAAAGCAAGCTCAAAAGCTACATCTTTATTTACTTCTGATTCATCTCCCCTGCAAAATTCCTGTTTTTTCTATCTCAATGTTGTAATTTAGACATACTTAATGTATAGCATTTTTCATATTATAATTGTATTACTACTAATAAAAGACATCATTTCCCATGGTTGGCTATCAGCCTTTGTTCTAAATTCAGCACCATTTAACATAGTCCAGAAAATATAGTATTATCCCTATAAATGCTTATTCAAAAGGGAAACAGAAGGAAGCAGTGAGTAAAGGCGGAGTCTTTCAGAGATTTTATTATCTCAACTGCATGTTATACAGTTTAATTCATTAATCACATCATTTTTAGTTATAGCCAATAGCAACAGGTTCGACAATAAAGGCTCTGTGCTTAAAGCAAATATCTCTTCCGCAGCAACCCCAAACAAAACAAAGCAGGTTATAAAAAGCTCAGACGTATGCAGGCCACTTATTTTATTATTTTTTCTCAAAATATCTTAAACAGAGAAAAAATAAAGGAGAACTAGAATGTATTACCTCAGCTTTATTTCTGATATTGCTTATTTTTATTTTTATGGGAATTTCACCATTCCACCTTTAAGAACTTAATTTCCTTCATCTGAAGGGCTAAGGTAAATAACCTTATGCCAGCCTTCTCTGGTTGTTATACACTGTGATAGAGACTTTCCATATCAACCTCACAATGGGCTTGCCCAGGAACCATTTCTGTCTCCATTTCACAAAAAAGGGAACTGAGGGGTAATTTAAGAAATGTGTCCAAATTCATAAAAACTACTTGACTCTTTCAAAGCTAGGAATATTCAGATTATGTGAATTTCCTAGTGTGATTCTGCTTACTTAAACTCAGGGCAAAAAATGTTCTAAATTTGAGTCCAGAGCAGCAGTGCTGTTTGGTAGTTCTTTCTTTTTTCCTAACATATATAGATACTTTATAAAGCATGAACGCACTGTTCCCTGCACCCCATCACAAATCAACTAGCAATACCTTTTTGATACAAGGGAACAGGAGGTGTTGAATAATTTTTAGCTTTTGAGAATTCCCGAACTCTGCACACACTACAAAGTGACTATCAAAGTTAACACAAAGGCTATATTCGTCCACCAACCCCCACCCCTTTGGTTTTGAGTATCTCAGCATTGTCTGTTACCGTAGGAAGGCATATTTGTCTCACTCAATTGTTTATAATTTTCCAGAGAAGCATTACTCTTCAGAATTTAAGTTTGGGATATGTCATTCCCAACAAATTATACTACTTCCCCTTTATTTCAGGCAGTTGTCACATTTCTCTTTCTCATTTCCTCCCTATGCATTGTGTATTTTAAATTCCTTTCACTTTTTTACACCTCTTACTTCAATTTGACACTTTACACACATCCTTAACTTCTGTCTAATGTATCATGTCTTCATTTTTAAAAGTGATGGACCCAGGATGCTCTCCTCTTGATCCATCTTTCATTTAAATAAGGCTATGTATCTTTTTTAGGTGAGAATACACAGTGCCAAAAAAAAATAGTTTATTCTGTGAATCAGTGAATTACTAGTCTGGTCTTAGAACAAAGCATATTTTTCTTTTAAGATTTGTGAGTTTAGTTTTTCTACCATTTCAGAAATGTAATTTTAGGAGGGAGACACTACACCTTAAAGGTACAGGTTTTTTACAGGTGTAGATAGTACCTTTCAAAACAGAGAAAAAAATTTCATTGTGAATATTTGCATTAAATTATCCTTTTCTTTTCAGAATAACAATGTAAGTTTACCTTTATTTTAAACCAAGCAAACTTCTGAGCTTTCCAGCTATATCTGGAATGAATTAATTATTACTCAAGGTTAACATTTTGCACTCCCCTTAATTGAACCATAGTTTATTCCACAATGTAAAGACTTTTCTTAAAAATATATTTATATGTCATTTCAAAGCTTGATTGCTTTTTGTTGTTGTTATCCATTAGATAACAGTGCACCAGAAAGGCATTGTAAACCATGTTTTTGTTTTTTCCTTCCCTGCCTTTCCCCATCTCTGCCGTATTATCATCAGGTGGCTGGAGAGAGATATGTCTACAAATTCGTATGTGATCCAGAAGCTCTTTTCTCCATGGCCTTTCCAGATAATCAGCGCCCACTGCTGAAGACGGACATGGAACGTCACATCAACGAGGAGGACACGGTGCCTCTGTCTCACTTTGATGAGAGCATGGCCTACATGCCGGAAGGGGGCTGCTGCAACCCCCACCCCTACAACGAAGGCTACGTGTATTAACACAAGTGACAGTCAAGCAGGGCGTCCCCCGGGCTTTCCCTTTTTCTGCAAGATACAGAGAATTGCTGAATTCTCTTCAGTCTTTGTTTTATTTTTGTTGTCTGTATTTTATTTTTAAATAATAATACACAAAAAGGGGCTTTTCCTGTTGCATTATTCTATGGTCTGCCATGGACTGCGCACTTTATTTGAGGGTGGGTGGGAATAACCTAAACATTTATTCTGTGTAACAGGAAGATAATGGGTGAATGGGCAGAGGGATTTAGGGATTACTTTTTACTTAGGCTTGGGATGGGGTCCTACAGGTTTTAAGTATGATGAAGCTATATCATGTCTATTTGATTTCGTAACAACATAAGACAATGTTTATTTTCTCTGGGTATCTATGGTACAGTTAATTTCACATTGTGTAAATATCTGCTGCTTGGAGACTATTTGCCTTGGGCATTTTCCCCCATCGTTTCTGAGTCTCTGCAGGTGTACAAAGAAAACCCAATCTACTGTAAATGGCAGTTTAATTGTTAGAAATGACTGTTTTTGCACCTCTTGTAAAAAGGTATTTAGCGATTGCATTTGCCATTTTTTGTTTGTTTGTTTTATTTTGTTTTGCTTTATATATGACTCACAGAGGATAACCATAAAATGGGTATTTCTCTCTGAAGTTGAATAATCACCATGACTGTAAATGAGGGGCACAATTTTGGACTCTGGCTCCAAACTGAGTCACAGGCCAGTAGCATTATATGTATCTGGTGCCACCTTGCTGTTTAGATACAAATCATACTGTCTTTTAAGTATTTTGAAGCCCATTTCAGTTAAATAATGACATGTCATGGTCCTTAGGAATATTCACTTAAACGTTAAATCTGGGATCACAATGAAGCAAAAAATATCTGTCTCCTTTTCACTTCCTTCAGTACATAAATACATTATTTAATCAATAAGAATTAACTGTACTAAATCACATATTATGCTGTCCTAGTTACAGCAAGCACTCTTTAAGAAAAATATCCAATACACTAAATAGGTACTATAGTAATTTTTAGACATGGTACCCATTGATATGCATTTAAACCTTTTACTGCTGTGTTATGTTGATAACATATATAAATATTAGATAATGCTAATGCTTCTGCTGCTGTCTTTTCTGTAATATTCTCTTTCATGCTGAATTTACTATGACCATTTATAAGCAATGCAGTTAACTACAGATAGCATTTCAGGACAAAATAGATGACTCGAACCATTTATTGCTTAAAAAATAGCTTATGCCATGCTATGCTCTAAACAGCTTTTATGCACATTGACAAATGAAGAGTAAGCTTCAGCTTGCTAAGGGAAACTGTGGAAACTTTTGTAACTTTTGGTGAAATGGAAAATTATTTACAAACTGTCAAAGAATTTGAGGAAGTTGCTGTATGACATAGTGCTGGCACTGATACTATCCAACATCTCGTTTTGGACACTCCTGTAAATGTGATTGGATTGTTTGAAAGAAGATTTAAAGTTTCAAAGTTTTTTTTGTTTTGTTTTTGTTTTGCATATGGAGAAAATATTGAAAGCAGGATATGTTGTTCTATTCACTTTGAAAAAACCATAATTAAATGGCATTATAGTATCTAAATAGCTCGTTAAAAGATTCAAGCCAAGCAAGGAACATGAGTTTTGTTCAATCTGTCAATATCCTAGAGAAACAACCTTTTTTTAAGAGTCTAGCAAAATGTTTCTAAAAATCCTAAACATAAAGCCAAAATAAACCTATAAAAGGATTTCATGATGAGCACAGGAAAGATTTCTTAAAGATGATCCCCCGCAGCTACCCATTTTCCAAGACTACACAGGTCACAGCTCATTTCTCTAAATTGAACAGTTATTGAAAAATCCATAAACCAAAATCAATACTTATTCACATTTAATCCTACAATCAAAACATACTCTAATTTCAAGATATGTGTGTAACCTGTGATTTCAATGATTGTTCTACATATATGTCATATATAATTTGGCCCTTTATGGCCTAATAAGTATGCCTTAAAAATCAGAACTTTTTCCCCCACTATGCTCATGTGGCCATTTACAGCACTTAGAATAAAAACAGATGTTAAAATATTGAGTAAAAGTTTTATTGGAAAGAGAATTGAGATATATGATTATTTGGTAACATTGAAGGAGAAATTTTAATTGGGTCTTTAAAATGTGTTCTAAATGAAAACTGTATTGAGGATTTTTCTTTCTTTCTTTTTAGGTCTTTTTTCTTTTTTTTCTTTTTTCTTTTTCTTTTCTTCTTTTAAATATTCAGTCAGTGAGGAATAATTGGGCCATGAGTTACCTTAATAGATCAAAGGCAGAAATTGTACTAACTGTATAATGTTTAAAGACAAACTATATGTTTTGCTGTTTAAGGTAGTGACTCACTGAACTAAATAAGTAATTGGCCAACATCAAGTATATTTCCAATACAGAAGGGTTCAGAATATTGCATTATAAACTCTTGACAAATGTATCTGAAGTTTTTTTTTTTTTTTTAATTCTGTTTTTATTCCACTTTTTGTTTGGTTGTATTTTTATGTTTTTATTTTCAGGTAGATTAATAAATCTGGCAGCTGATTTCTGCAAGATTCTTGTGTTTTGAATTTCTAAATGAATTGGATCCTCGAACTTAGAAATAATTCATTAATGATATGTCTTCTTTCAACTTGGTAAAAGAAACTAAAAGAAATATCTCCAGTCCTGTTTGCTGCCTCTGGGTGATGATTTACTAATACCCAATAGATCAATTATAGCAAAGAATGTTACATCCCAAATAACTAGTGAAAAATGGTTTTTCTTAAGTTATAGCTATAAATGCTTCAAAATAAAAATCCCCAAAGCTGACAGTACAGATTTTTCTCAAATCATAGAAGGATTTTGGAGATCTAGTTTCCTATAGATGCTATAACAGATTACCACAACTTCAGTAACTTGAAACAACACAAATCTGTCTTCTTAGAGTTCTGGAGGTCAGAAGTCCAAAATGAGTCATAAGGGGCTAAAACTAAGTTGTCCATAGGTCTGGTTTCTTCTGGAGGCTCCAGGGGAGAGTCTTGCTTCCTCCACTTCTGGAGGCTACCAGCATCCCCTGGTTCCTGGCTTCACTTCAATCTCTGCTTCCATGTTCACAACTGCCTCTCCTCTTGGACAGTCAGATCTCCCTCTGCCAGCCTCCTGTAAGGACACCTGTGGTTACATTTAGGTTATATTCAAATAACCTGGGATAGTCCCCCCCCCCTCAAGATCCCTAATTGAATCACATGTGACACAGCCCTTTTGACAGATAAATTATTCACAGGTTACCAGGATTAGGACATGAATATGGGGAGGAGGGTTTGGAGGATGGCAGGCTGTTACTCAGACTGCCACACAAATGAAGTCATTATGTAGCAAAAATACTAATTGATTTACCCATGGACAGGAAAGTTCTATTGAGGGAGCTAGGACTAGAAAATAGAGAAATGTTTTTGTTTACCACAGATATCCTCCCCTTATTCTGCGTAGTTTGAAAGCTTGCTGTATTAAGGTTCATCTATCCCACTAAAGCATCTGGTAATCACATCAAGCCTTTAGATTATTTAAATCCTTCTTCCACCCTCAGATGAATACTGTATAATGAGGGGGGAAAATAAGGTGTCATAATAACAGAATAATAGAACAGTTAAATTTGTGGTCGAAGCCAGATTATATTTTTTTAATAAATTCCCTTTGGTGTTAGGATGAGTCGTTACTATGCGATCTTAACATTTGCAGGTGATTATTTTTTATTAGGTAAGAACAATATTATTTAGGATATGTCTCTGTTACTCAAAAGAATGATTCTAAAAATGAGTCAACTTATCTTTATATGACAAGGAAAAAAATATATTGCCTGATGTTATGTTAAAATAGTATTTGGCCAGATCATAGGAGTTTCTGAAGTGAGACACCTTATCTATCATGCAGTCTTTTAGAGCTTATAATGAGAAAACATTACAGAGAAAAAGGCCATTTACATGTTTATTACTTGGAATTGTAAAAGAGAAAAACTAAAACTTAAATACAAGAAATGAGTGAGCTATTTTCCAGTCGCAATTTGGTATGGAGAAGAGAGAAAGTTATAAAAAAAACATATAATTTGGGTGAAAATAATGGTGGGAAGAAATTAAAGAAGGCAGATGTACATATGAAGCATTTATGATAAGAAGTATATAAAAGCCAGGTTTCAAAAAATATTAGTGTTGAACATGATACTAAAAAATTTGACCCAATTTATTCAGAACTCAACTAGTACTTTTAGAGCTTGATTTTTTTTTAATATAAGACTCACTTAGAAAAACATATTTAAAAAACAGTTTATGGAAAAGTATAGTTTAAGAAGAATATTTGATTAGACTAGTGGATGCCTTTGTAGAAATATCTATGATTTTAGAATGTTCAATTAGAAGTGTATATACAATGGTTATGGTTTATGAATTCATATGTAAGGGAGGTTCTTTTGCATATAGAGTCTAATATTATTTAATTCCATACTAAAATTATATTTATGTTTCCAAGGGGAAGAAAGTTTTAATTCACTTGGTTGTATTAAAATTATACTTACAGTTTGAGAAAACATGCTATGAAAATCATGTGATTATAGCAAATTAAAAATGCTCAAAATTTAAACCTAAAATAAAAGCCCAGAAGTTGAAAATATTGGACTGTCGTGATCACTCTGAAAGGTGGCACATCTAAAACTGATAAATGCCATCTAAATTTTTGACTGCCTTCTAATCATCTTGTCATTTTTAATAGTTTATGACCAAGACACTTGAGTAATCTCTTTGTACTACTTCCATTATTTCCACATATTATTCTCTTGCTGGCTAACTTAGGTATCAAGACACCTGATAAATCTTCTTCCAATTCTATATTCCAATCTCTTTAAATACTTTATTTCACATAACCCCTTTAATAAATATATTAGGGAGAATTTTTGAGAAGGGAACTATCTAAATTATTTCAGTGCCTCTCGTGTGCCAGACAGGATGGATACCTGACTGATGTCACTGCCTCCAACATTGGTTGGCTTCGTCTCATGAGAAGCTGAGGCTAGTGGCAAAATCAGAGTGTCAAAATGTCATGTGATCACGGGCAAATTCGTAAACCCTACTTTTTCATATAAACTTGGACCTCATTACTTTCCTGATTTAATTCCTAATGACAAAAATGTTTATAAACATCACATATTTTGCTGAAACACAGTGATTTGAAATTTTTTTTTTTTTTTACCATTTTTGAATGTTCCTTACAGACAAATCTAACAAGGAAATCAAGCCACCATTAACTCAACAACAACAACAAATGAGTTTGGGCTGTTTTTTTTTTTTTTTTTTTATGACTTTTTAAGCATTTAGAAATCAAACTGATTGAAGTACCTCTTTGTTATTTGCCATTGGAAAGGTGTATAGCTTAATGATTCCCAAAGAAACATATAGTCATCAAATTCTTTGGAAAGTTATAAACGCTGTCCCCATGATTTACACTATTAGACATGACATCTGACAGTAATAAGAGTTCTGAGAAAATTTTTAAAGCATACAAGATTCAAAGTCACGTGATTCAGAAGAAGGAAATATTGGTTTTTAAAGCAGAAAGTAGAACAAAAATCATAGAAAGTATTGTATAAGAAATCTTAATTTTTAACAATATCCTATTTCCACAAGGAAATAGGACATTCTTATAAACATTCTAATTTTTAAAATAACCAGTTACACTATTTGTCCTCCAAAAAGTTTAATGTGAATTTAGTTGGCAGGGTGGGTGGGAAGGAAAACAACAAGATTATGTATGTGACATTGCTTTTTACACTGCAAAATACTATTCTATTTTCAATGACCACAAACATATTTTTTACTCTTAAACATATTTGACAATATCAACTCCTTTAATTTTCTGGACTTTTAAAAAGATTGTGATAGAATATAGATAACATAAAACTTACCATTTTAACCATTTTTAAGTATATAATTCAGTGGTATTAATTACATTCACAGTGTTGTATAACCATCATCATTATCTAGTTCCAAAATATTTACATTTTTTATTCTTAAAGCATTCTTAAAAATACTCCAGAAGATATTTTATTATATATTTTACAATTAGAAATGTAAAAATACAATTTTATGATGTCTAATAATTTAAATTAATTATAATTCCTTTACAAAGAGATTGGACTTGATTTTATATTATAGTTTAATAGCTTTATTAAAGAGAAAAAGAATAACATTATTTATAAACACTATTATGTAAAACTCTATTTTAAATAGTTTCAGTAATTATTATTGGGTTGTTAATTTAGATATCCAACTTATTGGATATTTTGAAATCACTTGGTATTTTAAATCCTACTTTAACAGATAGAAACAGCCCCTTAAAACAAACCACATGAAACAACAACAAACCAATGTTTTCCACTCATGTCTCTTTAGTTTGAACTGACAGATTAACATATCATAAAGACACAAATATATTGAAGTTATAGATTATAATTAAACTTTATAGGACAGTGATAATTTCAGATAACATTTTTTAGGAAATAATTTCAAAACAGAAACAAATTAGATCTAATAACAGTATTTATGTGAAATTAGGCTAATAAGATAAATTGCACCTCTCACCATATTTTTGGTTTAAACACTAAGAGCTTTTTCTTAAATTAAATCTATTTTCATGACTTTTCAAATCTTATAGATTCCCTTCAAAGCAAATTATATTTCTTTCTGTTTCTTGAAGTATGGTATTTAATCACATTTAGAATGAGGTTCCTCGTTTAGGATCACTCACTTTGGATTAAACTTTTGGGATTTTATGGAATTTAATATTTTATTTAAAATTCTATCTCTAATACAATCTAAGAGATCAGATTTTATAATTATGCTTAATTTTTTTCTTAAATATGTATAGTTGAGCTTTGAACAATATGAATTTGAACTGCATGGATTCAACTAAACGTGGATCAAATATGGAGGGCTAACTTTTCATATATGAGGGTTTTGCAAGGCTGACTAGACTCAAGACCTAAGTATGCCCAGATTTGGCGGTATGTGGGGGTTCTAGAGCCATACCCATCCCCCCATATATACTGAGGGACAATTGTAATACCAAACCCAAATGGGGTACATTCCAAATTTTTTTATTATTTTTGACTTGTTTGCTTTATCAAGAGCTTGATTCGAAGGTGTAAATGGTAAATATTACAAATAATTCATACAATTTTTATTCACATTATTTCACATGCTTACCTCTGAAATTCAGTATCAAGAAAATTATGAAATAGAATCAAATGAAAAAATTCTTCCTCCCCTGAATTTACTGTTTATTTTTACAAAAATTTGTGATTATGCAGAAACCCTGAGGCAATATTTCCAAAACCAAAACAAGGAGAAATATGAAAATAAACATTTGGATAATTTAGATTCTAAAGGAGAAAAACATTGTGCCACTGATTCATTCACTGAGTGGATATTAATTCACTCATACTAGAACAGACTCTGGATTATTCATTTCAATTTGTTCTATGTTGGGAAATCCATTTATTCAATCCTTCAAAATTCTCAGCTATGAATCATCTAAAAATCAATATTAAACATTGCTATAGTATCAGTTGATTATATATTTTTTATGTTTAGATTAAGGGCTCCACCTCATTGGTAGACTATGGAAGATAAAATAGATTTTTAAAAAGAGATTCTTGTCTCCAAACAAGACAAACTCACATAGATCTAATACACACTTGGATGATTATATAATGGGTTATCTCACTTAATACCAAATAACATAGTCTAGACCCCATGTAAAAGGCATACAGTAAAGAAGTACCCCAAGATTTCTGATGCCAATGGGAAGCCTGGATACTTTTATTCCACATGAGTGTTTAACTTCAATCATGGCTGTGGTATAAAATGAAGCATTTAATAAATAAATTGCTAAGTATAAGTTTATATGGCACATAATTCAATAAGATGTTGAAAATTTAACTAAAAATCAAAGCAGAGCAGACTGCTGAATCATTAACTTCCAGACTGCCTTGATCCTAAGTGTATTGAAAGTGTTTATCAAATGCCCACTTGCTGTTCACATTTACATACTGGAAATCCTCATTGTGTTGTAACTAGGAATCCTCATTGCATTAGTGATTTTCAAAGAGATTTTCAAAGCCAAGAGGCTCCATTTGGTAGATGCTATGGTACACACCCTGACAAATGGGCCTGTGTCCCACCCCTACCATTAATGCTCACAAAGAGCAATAGAGATGAGTCACAGGATCTTTCTAACACTGAGTGATTCCAGTCCTTGATCTACTTGTCCATGGTTGTGACTATTTTGTAGCAGGAAGTTCATAACTTGGTACCTACCTAAGTACTACAGTTTATCAGTTTGTTTGGGAAGAGTTCCTGCTTGTACCTATTGTCCCAGCATATTGTTCATAACTTTACTATCAAAGTTTGGAAAATAAATTCACTTTTTACCTGCACCCTACATTGAAATGCTCTCCTTGGGTTGTCTCCCAGGAAAAATGTTTATGATTGAATTGTCATACCACCTCTCCAGAGCAAATATTTCTAATGAGGAAACTTCTGGACCTGATATAATTAATCCTTTTTTCACCTTTATATCTATGGTGGCTCTCAATAGCTGTCATGAATTTTATTTTATTTTTTTACATTTCTACATCTTACATTTTCTCAGTCATGGAATGGTGGAAATTTATAGAAATTAAGGACACATGGATCTTGGTTTGCATAAGGCTGAACTGGGTAGATTTTAAGATTATGAACTTTAAATATATCCTTATGAAAATGAATGTAGTATGAAACATAGTGAATAGATGGCAAAACTAATAGAAATTATAAAGAATTTAGCTAAAAAAAATTCCTAATAGCAGAAAATAATCATATACCCAATTCAGATCACTGTTGCTGAAGTCAATGATCACCAACTATCTTTCCATTCTTGCATCATTCACTCAAGATGGAGAGCCCAGTAGAGAGAAATCCAAAATCAAGGTGTTGGCAAGGTTAGTAGCTTCTCAGGGCAGGATATGTTCCAGTCTCTTTACTAAACTTATAGAAAGCTATAGTCTCTCTATCTGTCTGCACATGGTCTTACTTCTGTGCATTTGTGTCTCTGTCCAAATTTCTCCCTTTTAGAAAGACATCAGTTTTATTAGAATTTGGACCTACCCTAATTACCTCATTTTAACTTACCTCTGTAAAGACTTTATCTTAAAATAAGGTCACATTCTGAAGTACTGGGGTTAGGACTCCATCCTATCTTTTTTGAGGGAATATCATTCAACCTATGACAGGTTCTTAAATTATGGTCAAGTGAAAGTGAAAGAATCCATAAAAATGAAATGATAACCATGCATTATATGTGAGATTCAGGCATAAGAGATAAGTTTCAATTATATCTTTCTTATATTATATGACTAATACAGAGAAAGAAGTTTGTATAACTATAACCGAAGCATTGGTCTTTATTCTCAATGGAAATGGTTGAAATGAATTTTATTCTGATAGTCTTCTTGTCCCTTCAGTAATCAACATCTTTATTTAAAAAATGTTATAGGAAAGTAAGAATAAAGGGAATAATCGTGTAATAAATTTAATTAAAATCCAAAAAAAAAAGTAGGTATAATAAATAGGAAAA